ATGTGAATGTGCTCGGGATTGTGAAAGTGGCTGCACATTTTTTATAAGAAATTATCGATTTAGATACTGTTCTACAATGTTGCCAGCATTTGCAAGAATACATTTTTATTTACATCACACCTTTAACAAAATCTCTTCTTGAGCCCTGGCCGGGTAGCTCAGTTGGTAAGAGCATTGTCCCAATATGGCAAGGATGTGGGTTTGATCCCTGGCAGGGCACACATACAAGAATCAACCAATTAAATCTGTTCTTGAAAAAACTTTAATAGCCAATATGAGTGAGGGCATTGAGAATTGGTGCTTTCATACACTGTCAGTGGTAATAACGCATGGCATAAACTTTTAGGTTCATGCCAAATGTTTGTAGACTTTGAAAATCCCAATATGTCTAGGATGTATTCTACCAGTGTACAGAGATGTATAAGTAGTCTCTCTTTAGCCACGGTTTCACTTGCCACAGTTTCAGTAACCCTTGGTCAACCATTGTCCAAAAATACTAAATGGAAACTTACCAAAATAAACAATTCATAAATTTTCAATTGTGCACCGTTCTCAGTAGTGTGATGAGCTCTCACTCTGTCCCGCTCTGTCCTGCCTGGGATGTGAATCATTTCTTTGTTCAGCATCTCCACGCTGTAGATGCATAGCTGTCTCCGTTATTAGATTGACTGTGGAGATAGCACAGTGTATGTGTTCAAGTTCTTCTTATTTTACTGAATAATGGCCCCAAAGTGCAAGAGTAGTGATGCTGGCAATTCAGGTATGCCAAAGAGAAACCTTAACATGTACATAGTATATACAGGGTGCAGTATGGTGGTTACAGGCAGCCACTGGGGTCTTGGAACATATGCCCCATAGATAAGGGGGAACTACTGTATATGAAAATGTTCCCTGTAGCATCGTAGTAGTCTCTCCCCGACTCAAGAAAAGAAGAAACAAGCCAACAGACCATCTCTAGATGAATGGTTAAAACACACACACACACACACACACACACACGCACACACACACACACTATGGATATGATTCCACTTATAGGAAGTCCTTAACGTAATCACATTCATAGATTCAGAAAGTAGAACGGTGGTTGCCAGAGGCTGAGAAGAATGGGGAGTTATTGTTTAATAGGGACGGAGTTTCAGTTTGTCACAATGAAAAACTGGAGATCAGTGGTGGTGATGGTTGTACAACAGTGTGAATGTACTGATTGCCACTAAACTGTGCACTTAAAAATGGTTATGCTGATATATTTTATGTTTTGTGTATTTTACCACCATTCATTTTAAAATCTTAATGGTCCAAATGGTAACTTTGTAAAAATATATTTTTTTTATTGATTTCAAAGAGGAAGGAAGAGGTAGGGAGAGATAGAAACATCAATGATGAGAGAGAATCATCGATTGGCTGCCTCATGTGAGCCCACAACCAGGGCATGTGCCCTTGACTGGAATCGAATCTGGGACCCTTCAGTCCACAGGCCGACACCCGATCCACTAAGCCAAACCAGCCAGGGCCCAAATGGTAACTTTTATGTTAAATATATTTTACCACAGTAAAAAATAAAACAATGAATATCCCCTAGGCTTATGACGATGCCGATATTATGCAGTAATTTAAAAATGAATAGCTACATATGTACTATCATAGAAAGATATCCATATATTGCTAAGGACAAAAAGAAAAGAACAGCAGATATAGAATGGCTCTATTTTTATAAATGTAGTAAATAACAATGAGTTAGAAGCTGAGAGTATAGGCACCAAACTGTTAACAGTGTTGGGGTAAGGAAATGATTACTTGTTGGGGTTCAACCCCAGCAGGTCCAGGGGTCCCCAAAGGTGTGGACGGAGTCAGCAAAGAAGGAATGACACGGAGACAGCGTTCAGTTGATCAGCAGCCTAGCCAGGATATCTAGCCAGGATCTCCAGCCAAGTTCTGTCTTTTATTGTCTTGTTACATCTGTATTTATACCAGTTGATTTTAATCCTGTCAATTTCTATTCCAAAGGTTAGGGTGTTTCTTATCTCCATTCCAGGGAGTAAAGATTATGTAGCTTAAGTGTGATTGTTCGTAGTTAAAGTGATTAACTATCCGCCTGGCACTTAGTTAAGGGGTTTTATTCCCTCCCTAACTTCAGGGAAAAATCCCTACCTGGGGAAACAACCTTTCTTGGAGAGATGACCTTGGTTAAAACACATAGCGCCAAGAAGGTGAGCAAACATATCAAGAACAGTATGCCATATACGTCAGGTCCCTTGAAACATATGCTGTGCAGATGTTTCTTCCCTGCAGCGACTGTGTCAAGCAGCAAGGATGGACCGGCTTCCGGCAATTACTGGGAGCTTTCATTCTACATAATACATTTTTGGTGAGGTACGTGAAATCAGAACCAAAAAGCATAAAACAACCTTCAATTGTTCCTCTTTGCTGTCAGAATAAAATTCCATGGGCAAGAGATGGCCATGGCTTATCTATCTCATTTCTCTCATCTTCTCTCCTTATGGCCAAGTGGAATCATTTCTATTCTGCTTGTGCCATGCTTTCTCTGTCCTTGGGAGATTCACGCATACACTCCTTCAGTCTGAAACACCACCCTCACCCCTTTGACTCACCTAATTCCAACACCCTTCAGATCTCAGCTAACACATCCCTTTTTATGTACGTTTAGCCCTCCCTGGTCCCCCCTGAATCCTGGCTACACACTCCTCTGCCCTCCCATGGCTAACATCCTATACTTCTAAATTACCTCACATTTCACACTGAGTTATAGTCCTGGTCGGCCTTTCCCTGTAACAGCCCGAAGGGTGGCCATGTTGTTCATCCGTCTACCCCCATCTCCTAACTCAGGACCTGATGCACAGTAGGAATTCCACTCCAACTTCTTGAGCAAATGAATAGATAGCATTGGTTTGTGAATCTGGTCTGGCTGGGTGGGTCCGTTCTACTGCAGTAACAAGGACTTTTGGTCCTGAAAAAGGTGTGATACATCCTTTCTGTCCATCAAGGTGCCAGCCAATCTCCCTCTCTCTTGGAATCTTGAATATCTCGACTCGGAGTCTTTATAATTACAAGATAAAGAGAATAAGTATTTGTGTTCATTAATGATCTAAGAATGAGGGCTCTAAAGCAAGTAAAATGACCTTCATGAGACCCTAAGCCGAGGCAAAGGGAAAGCTCGAACTCAGGTTTTCCAACACCACATTCAGGCCCCTCACCGCTGAACTTTTAGGGCAGGAAGCAGGTCTTCGGCTTCCTCAAGTCTCCGGTCCTCGTACAGGAACTACCACATAATTCATAGCGAACGGGTGTTTGTTGAATGAATGAATGAAGGTTTATACATAAACACACATTCACAAACACACACATACAGTATCTTTTCTATAAAATTAGAACAAAGCCACCAAAGCAGCCACAGAACGTGTAACTTTCCATGTCATTAGGCGTGGTGTCCCACCAGCAGGACTGAAGCAGACTAGCAGAGACTCTAGTAACCAAGGAACTTACACTCTTCATACCCTGAGCCAACCTTTACTGAGCATCTTCTCTGTGCCCAGCACTTCGCTGGGTACTGTGCATTCTAAGGTGGACAAGCCACTATTCCTGTGCTCTGGGCACACTATCTAGTTGGAGAGAAACTCATAGAGCTAAACAGATACCATACAGAGCGATGGAGGCTCTCTCAAGGCAAACACGGATGGGTAATTTGTGAGTGAAAGCACTTGTCGCCTTGGCGCCTGGATGCTGCTCACCAAGCCGGAAGCACGTGATAATGAGGGTGCCCAGGTAGGAGAGGCTATGGAAAAAGGGGGCCCGGCCAGGCCACAAAGAACCTTGTGTGCCACGCTAGGAAGTTTGGGCTGAGGCCTAGGACTTGTTTGCGTTTGAAATTTGCGGTCATTTGATCTATAAACGTGCATATCTGTACAACAATTCAGTAGTATTGCAAATAAAAATCTGATTGACTTCAAAATAAGAAAACCAGGGTCTCAAATTTGGTCCTTTGTATTCTAAAACAGTGCTCCAAAGGATGGCAAAAGAGACAGATATGCAAATAAGATATTCAATGCCTTATACCCCTCAGCTGATGGAAACTATCGCCACAATGCGTGGGCCTATCAGAATGTGACTCTACCTAAAGGATCTCAAAATAGCTCTGCTCTGCGCTCTGCGGCAGGCAAGCGTCTGCTCTATTGGGTAGTGGCTCATTCTTTACTATTGTTGCTATGTGACAAACTATTGGCTCAGTGTTAATCCAAGCCTGCCAGCGGAGGGCGGGAAGAGGGCTTTGGGAGAAGCATCTTTCCTAGAATCTAATGTAACGAACATGGCCTGAGCATTTCCCAGGTACCCTTCCGGTACCTGCCCCTGAGGATAGACATCCAGTTCAGTTCAATGAACATTTCTTGACTGGCTCCTATATGAGAGGCACTCTGCTGGGCTCCAGGGATGTAAAAATAAATACAATTCACATGCTGTCTGCTCTCAGCTGCTGAGAGATAGTCTTATAAACAGGAAAGTGCAATCTAACACGCAGGATGCACTGATAGAGGCGTGGGTGCTATGTTGACACCCAGAGGGGTACTTCCTATGGGCATGGTGATGTGCTTGTGGAAAACGCATATGGAGATCTCCCATGGACAGCTGGACGTACAGGTGAATAGGGAAATCAGACCCAATCCTTGCCCTGGAGGATCTCGCTATCGAGTGAGAGATAGAAATGTAAATACGGCCCTAGCTGCTTTGGATGCTCAGTGGATAGAGCATCGGCCTGCGGACTGAAGGGACCCAGGTTCGATTCAGGTCAAGGGCACATGCCTGGGTTGCGGATTCGATCCCCAGTAGGGGGTGTGCAGGAGGCAGCTGGTCAGTGATTCTCTCTCATCACTGATGTTTCTCTCTCTTCCTCTCCCTTCTTCTCTGAAATCAATAAAATTTTTTTTTTTTAAAAAAAGAAACGTTACTTGATTTATTTAAAAAAAACAAATGTAGGGAGTTCTGTGAGAGCCACTCGACCTCGCCCTGGAGCTGCAGCTCCCAGCATGGTCGACCAGCCCGGTGCTGTGGTCCAGGAGGACCCATGGATGTCCGCGCAGGCCCTGGACAGGCTGCTGAAGATGCCGCTTCCACTGCCACGGATTCGCACCCGGCCCTGGTGGTTTCCTGCGCTGGAGCTGAGAGACCCATTGGTGTTTTACCTGGAGGCATGTCTGGCTGACCCCATCTTCGGCAAAAACGGAGCCATGATTCCGGAAATAGAGTGGATGAACCAGGTCCTGCTGACGGTGGAAAAGGTGAACTCCGGGAGCTTAATCGAAATCACTGTTTTCGGACAGCCCCGTGTCCAAAATAGGGTGAAAAGCGTGCTCCTCAGCCTGGCAGCAAGGCACCGGGAGAACCGTGCCCGAGATAAGAAGATAAAACAACTTGAGAAGTTCTTGAAGGCCCATGGGTCACCTCCCCCGACTCCCCAGTCTGCCGGTTCTGGGTCTCCTGTTGCATGATATTGGCAGGAGCATTATGAGAACCGACCTGCTCCTGCTCCTGCTCCTGAAGTTAAAAGAAGCAAGTGTCCTTAAATCTCAGCTTCTTTCTTTCTTTTGCTGGATGGATGGGTGGTTTGGTTTTTCTGATGCAGATGTGAGTGCAGTTGTAATAAAATGAATTTCCTTTTTGTCCACTGAAATAAAAATCTTTGCTCACTTAAAATTAAGCAAATTTAAAAAAAAAAAAAATGTAAATACAATAAATCAAGTACAATACTCTGGTGAATGCTAACATGGAAGCTGCTAAGAACACGATGGCACAACTGCTTGGCCTGGAAGTTTGGATGTTCCTCTAGGAGACAGCCTAGGAGCTGGGCGTTGAATGATTCAGAGTGTAAATCCCGGTGGGGAAAGTAATAATAACTGTATCGCTCCTGGGCTCTGCAGTCCAGGCACACTGAAGAGAGAGTGTCCTGAGCTGGCACAGCAAACACTATGAAGCCCAGAGCCTGGACGGTGGGCGCCAGTGACGTGGCTTACCGGGGAGCTGAATGTATGGCATTACCCAGCGGCATACGATGCTTTGGGGTGTTGAGGTGGTTAGAGGCATACGAGGCAGCAAACCACGGCTCCACACTCTGCCAACCTAACAAACATCTCACTCCCCAGGACTTCAGGCACATCTCCCTAAGACGTAGGTGGAGTCCTGCCTTGGCCTCCTCCAGCCTCATTGCAGCTTTATCCTTTGCGCTATTTCTTTTTTAATTTTTTAATATTTTTTAAAATTCATTTCTGAGAGGAAGGGAGAGGAAGATAGAAACATCAATGGTGAGAAAGCATCATTGATCGGCTGCCTCCTGCATGCCCCCAACTGGGGATCGAGCCCGCAACCCGGGCGTGTGCCCTGACTGGGAATCGAATTGTGACCTCCTGGTTCATAGATTGACGCTCAACCACTAAGCAGCATGGGCCAGGCTGCACTACATCTTTGACTCATCTTGGCATAAATCAAAGTCAGAGCAATTTCAAGTCAAGTCCCAATCCATATTCTCCCCTATCCTTGAACCTCAGATTCTGGGCTTTGACTCTGCTTAGCTTTCCAGGTAATGGGAACAGGCTCCACAAAGGCCTGATGAAGTCACTGTTGCTGCAGCTAAAAGCATGTAGGACATTCACCAAATCTTTTATTAATTTATCAAAAATGGGCCAACCGGTATGGCTCAGTGGTTGAGCGTCAACCTATGAACCAGGAGGTCACAGTTCAATTCCTAGTCACGGCTCATGCCCAGGTTGCAGGCTCAGTCCCCAGTAGGGGACATGCAGGAGGCAGCCGATCAATGATTCTCTCTCTCATTACTGATGTTTCTATCTCTCTCTCCTTCTCCCTTATTCTCTCTGAAATCAATAAAAACATATTTTTAAAAAATTTATCATAAATGTATTGAATTGGCACCTCACGTGGCAAACAAAGGGTTAATTCATTGACTCCACAGAGCTCTTGCAAACGGATAAGGGGAAAAAAATAGAAAAAACAGTGGGCAACAAAGCCTCCTCCAACAAAAGCCACTTGTGGCTGACACACCCTCAGGTGACTCCCAATAATTCCCACCTCCTGGTGTCCACGCCTCGGTGTTATCCCCTCCTCTTACGTGTGGGCAGAATCTGTGACTCACGTTTAACCAATGGAATATGGCAAAGGTGATGGGATTTACTCCCAGAACATGCTGTGTTAGGTAAGATGGCACCAAGTCTTCGGTAACGTTGCATCAAAAGATTCTCCTTATCAGCAGATGAGTGGATTAAAAAACGGTGGTACATCTACACAATGGAATGCTATGCTGCTATAAAAAAGAAGAAACTTTTACCATTTGCAACAGCATGGATGGAACTGGAGAGCATTATGCTAAGTGTAATAAGCCAGTCAGAGAAAGATAAATATCACATGATCTCACTCATATGTGGGATATAATGATCAACATGTTAATTTGATGAACAAGAATAGAACCAGAGACAAATGGTGGCGGGGGGGTTGGGGGGAGGAGGGTTAGAAAGCAACCAAAGGACTTGTGTGCATGCATAATAGCATAAACAATGGACACAGACACTGGGGCAGTGGGGGCTTGCCCGGGGTGGGAATGGCTGGGCGGGAGAGGGGGGGTCAATTGGGGAAAAGGGAGACATATGTAAAACTTTACACAAGAAAAAAAGAAAAAAAAGAGATTCTCCTTGCTGGCTTGATAAAGTTGACAGCCACATTAAGAAGCCTTTACTCCCTACCTGGTTTGGCTGGATAGATGTCAGCCTGCGGACTGAAGGGTCCTGGGTTCGATTCTGGTCAAGGGCACATGCCTGGGTTGCGGGCTCGATCCCCAATAGATGGCGTGCAGGAGGCGGCCAATCAATGATTCTCTCTCATCACTGATATTTCCATCTCTCTCTACCTCTCCCTTTCTCTCTGAAATCAATAAAAAAAATTTTTTTTAAAAGAAGGTTTTACGTGGGTGGTCTCTAGGAATTGCAGGTCAACAGACAAAAGCAACAGAAGGCTGGGGCCCTCAGTCACATAGCTACCAGGAAGTGAGTTCTGCCCACCCTCTGAATGAGTTTGGAAGCAGATTCTTCCCGCTTTGAGCCTCTGGATGAAAATGCAGCCCAGCATACTCTCCCCACCATTTTCCTCTCCTTTCCCTTAGCCCTCTTCTTCCCCTAAAACATAAAATAAAATAAAATAAATAAATTCAACCCAATCAACACTGATTACAACTCTGGGAGACCCTGAGCTGAGGACCCAGATAATCTATGTGGACTCCTGACCCACATAAACTGTGAGATAATAAATGTATAAATCATTTGAATTTATGATAACTTCTTATGTAGCAATAGAAAACTAATACAACAGATCAGGAAAGAAAATACAAATGGGACTTCTTTCTTTAAAAAAGCAAATGTATTTTTAAGTAGGTAATATATTAACATGGTTCAGCACATTATAAAGGGTATATTTTTCCTCCTACCCTTGTCCCCCAGTCACCCAGTGCCCAAGCCAGTGATAATCTTTGTTACCAATTTCTTGCATATGCACCCAGAGCTAATGAGTGCATGTTTGAGCAAACAAATTTATATTTCTTTGTCTTTTCCTTACTTTACTATATATATGCTGTTCTGAACCTTTTCATTTTTTAAAAAAATATTTTTTTTTTAATCATTTCAGAGAGGAAGGTAGCAAGAGAGATGGAAACATCAATGATGAGAGAGAATCACCGATCAGCTGCCTCCTGCACTGCCCTCCTCCCCCCAACCCCTGCACTGATGATCAAGCCTGCAACCCAGGCCATGTGCCCCCAACCGGAATCAAACCTGGGACCCTTCAGTCCACAGGCCAGTGCTCTATCCACTGAACCAAACCAGCTAGGGCTCTTTTTTTTTTTTTTTTAAATTATAAAATACAGCACACACACACAGAGGAGTGCATGAAACAAATATGTGCTATTTAAAGACAAAGCCAACACTTGTGTAACCCTCATCCAGGTCATGAAATAAAATAGAGCCAGTGTCTTGGGAGCCCCGCCCCTGGCTATGTAGCCTCTCTTATCACATTTGCTTTTCTGAGGACATGGCCACCACCACGGTGACTTCAGCCACTATCAGTCCCTTGTCTTTTCAATAGAGTTTTTTCCTCCGATGCATGCCTCCTCCGATGCTGTACAGCAGCTTATTTTAGTCCATTTTTGACCTTTACATAAAGGGAATCACACTCTCCTTTTGTGACTTACTTATTTAGCTCAACTTTATATGCAAACTAGCCATGTTGATGCATGAAATTATAATTTGCTCACTCTCTTGCTGCCTAGTTTTCCACTGTGCTAATAAACCACAATTTTTTTTCCACGCTACCATAGACGGACATTTAAGGCTTTCCATTTTTGTTCTATTAGAAACACTTTTGTTTTGAACATTCATTTACCTGACTTTCTCAAGCAGGCTTGATACTAGGGGTGGAGTTTCTGGGGTGTAGGACATTCATAGCATCAGTTTTACCAACTTACACTCTGCCAACTGTGTGAGCTTTTCTACTGCTGAACTTCATCGCCAACATTTGGTATTGTCAGGCTTCTTCATTTTAACCACTCTGGTGGGTATGCAGTGCTGTCTTCCTGTGATTTTTAATATATATACATTATATATATATAATATATATATATATATATATATATATATATATATATATACATATATTGATTTCAGAGAGAGGAAGTGAGAGGGAGAGGGAGAGAGAAACGTTAATGATGAGACAATCATAGATTGACTGCCTCCTGCAGGCTCCCCACTGGGGAATCAAGCCCGAAACCCTGGCATGTGGCCCTGACTGGAGTTGAACCACTGAGTCACACTGGCTGGGCCTCAGTGTGATTTTAATTTGTATTTCTCTTCGTGTCCATTTCGATTTCTTCTTTTATGACACGCCAGTTCAAGTTTTTGCTCAATTTTCCACGGGCTTGTTTGTCCTTGTCTGATTAATATAATTTGTAATATCCCAGTTTGTTATTTGTCCAACTTTGCAAGTGGATCCGTAAGTATGATAAGATGCCCACCTTCAATTATAAAAGAGATGGCGAAACGATGATGGTGTTCTTTATTCTTTTTGTCACTATCAGATTGGCCGAAGATCATGCAGCTCGATAACGCTGTGTTGGCAAGCGGGTGGAGGACTGTTCAGTAGCACACTGCAGGTTGGGTGTGTACATTGGTGAATTTGTACGGAGATCAATTTGGCATATCTAACATGCTATGAAATGCATGTACGGTTTGACTCAGCTATTTCAATTTCTAGGAACTTATCCTATGGCTACATTCACTTCCGTGTGAAGTAACATGTTCAGGGATACTCATGGTAACACTGTTTATAATAACAAGATATTAGAAACTTAAATACCCAATGGCTGAGGACTACTTAAATAATGTATGATATATATTTACAAGGGAACACCAATGCATATTTTTTTAAAAATTTTTATATAGGCTGAAAAGGAATATCTTCCAAGATACATTGTTATGTGAGAAAATAACCAAGTGCAGAATACTGGGGGTAAGGTGCTGCCACACCCACAGTATATGTGCTTGATGCTTGTATTTGCATAGACTATCTTGGAAGGATACTTGGAAGGTGGTTGGGGAATCAGGGTGGAGAGAGACTTATTTTTCACTGT